GGAAATTAGTAGATGATGGCCCAAAGCTTTGGGACTCTGCATCTGTGTGGGACATCTGGAAGAAGCTCCTGGCTCTTGGCTTCAGATCGGCTCAGCTCCAATCATTGCAGCCATTTGGGAGGGAACCAGTGGATGGAAGATCTTTCTGTGTTTCCTCCTCTCAGTAAATCTGGTCTGTCTTTCCAGTACAAACAAATAAATCTTTTTTTTTTTTTTTCTTAAAGATGAGTTTGGGGCAAGTGTTTAGTTTAAGAGATTAAGACTATAGTTAGGGCAACTATGGCTAATGTTGTAGTATTTGGATTTGATGCCTACTCCAGCTTCTGACTAATGTAGACTCTGGGAAGAAGTGGTAATGGCTCTACTCATTGGGCTGCTGCCAACCACATCAGAGGCCTGGACTGAGCTCCTGGCTCCTGGTTGCAGCCCCAGCCCCGCTCCAATTCTTACAGTCATTTGGACAAAGGCCAGTGCTCATTCTGAGAAGTTCAGCCTGTCCCTTCATGCTAAGTATGTTGATGTCCCTCTCAAATCTTACGAGTCTGCTTGTCACACCATTAAGTGACTGCCCCTGGGTGTAAGTCCGATTTATGCAGAAGGAAAAAAGGTACCCGGACACTTCTGCCCAACCGTGCTGAGGCCAAGCAGTCTCATATAGAGACACAAACACCAGGTGCTTTTAATCTGAGCCAGAACAAATTCTGACTCTCTGCTGACCCTGATGAACTTGACCTTCAAATGGCTGCTGCCCATTCTGTTCCTCTGGAGACACTTCCAAGACCCTTAGGAAGCATATGGACTCTCTCCTCAAATTTCATTTAGCCTTGCTGTTTCCACTGGTTCCTTCAGTGGACTCTCCAGAGATTTCTACCAGAAGTCCTGAGCTTGTACTACATATCCTAGGAGAACTCGTCCTAAGGTCTCTTTGGTCCTCGCTGCCCTCACCCTTATCACTTTCCCAATTTCCCCTGAGTAGCAACCCATCTAGACACAGGGGCTGACTCTCAGCAGGTGGAAAACATCTTAAAACACCTTAAATCTAAACATACCTTAAACTCTCCAATTCACCTAAAACTTTACTTCGAACTATAGCCATCACTCTCATCCTTACCCCCAACCTCATCCTGTAATTCGCAACCCTAAATCTTACCCCACTATAACTATTAGCCTGAACCTCAGCCACTAACCCTCACCCTCAACTTTATCTGCACTTTAACCTTCACCAGCAAATCATTACCCTTATACTCATGTAATTCTAACCTCTGGCCCTAATCCTAGTCCTTACCCGCACCCTGACCCTGGCTGCTGGAATCTACTTCTGGTCTTAGCAATGTGCAGCTGAGGCCACTGATCTGAGGCAGCAAGGGAGGGGACCTGGATGTCTCTGGCCTGCTCAGAGAGCCTGCCAAGCAAAGCTCGTCATTAGGGACATAATCAAATTGGTGGGATGAGGTGCATCCATCAACACAGAAACAACAGCAACAAGAAACAGGGATCCTTTCTCCTGATTTGGATGCAGGGAACCTTGCAGTCACTGAATGTTTTCCAAGCAAAACTTTAAGATATTCTGGGAAACAACGGCTCCCAGCAGCCAACCTAGTGGTGCAAGGGGAAAAAAATCAGTGTAGCAAAAGCATCAAATAATACTGAGAAAATAAAGGCACATTTGGTAGTTGGGGTTATGGTAGCTGCCCAGTTCTCAGGGATGGAAGTAGAGGAAATGTGGTGCAGGACCTAAAAAGCTCTCAACCCAGGAACTGAATGAATTCAGGACCTGGGACTGGTGTCGGTTCCTGACCCACAAACTATTTCTCTCTCTCTCTCTCTCTCTCTCTCTCTCTCTCTCTCTCTCTCGTTCTTTCCATTTATGACTTAGAGACTTAGAGGTTAGCTACAGAGAGAGTAAAGAAGGCACTACTGGATTATTTAAAATAAATTTCCAACTGCAAAACTCCTGTTATTTCTTAATTCCAACACCTACACGTATTATATGCAAGGCATGTCTGAATTTAAAAATAAAGTGTGTACTTCTGAAGCAGCCTGATAGCACTAGAAGGAAGTTGTTTTCTTGTACCGTCCTTGCCTAGCTTTGCTAACAGGGTAATTCTGGCCTTGTAAGAACTCTCCCCTCCTCTTTGAATGAGGTTAAGTAGGCGGGATACTAGTTCTTCAAACATTTGGTAGAATTTGGTGTTGTGGCCATCATCTCCTTGGAGACTTTTCATAAAAGTCAATCTCCTTGATCATTCTTGGTTACTTCAGATTTTTCACTTTTTCAGATTCAGCCTTGGTATGTGGTATACACCCATTTCTTTCAGGCTATCTAGTGTGTTGGCACGTATTCTTCACAGTAGGCACTTACAATCCCAATGTATGTATGTAGTGGATGTAGCCAAGGCTTATCAATTTCTTCATGTTTTCAAAAACCAATACTTAGTTCCATTATTTTAAAATTTATTACTGTTCTAAAGTTATTTTCTTTCTTATACTGACCTTATCTTTAACCTATTTTCTTTGCCTAGTTCCTTGTTTGAGGTTTTCCATCTTCTTTTTCCATGTAGATATTTATTGTTACAAAGTTTCTTATTGGAACTGCTGTTTCTGTGTTGCACATTTTGGTCTAGTGTGTTTCTATTGTTATCTGTCGACACTGTTAAAGTTCCATGTATTTGTGAATTTTCTGAAATCCCTGCTATTATTTCTTAAATCCTACTCTAAAGACATCTTGAAATAACTAGTCTAGTGAAATTTGCTGAAATTTGCTCTGTTTCCTGGTGTACGAGCTCCATTGGCTCTGAAGTCATGTTTAAGCACAGCATCCTATTCATTTTTCTTTAGATGATCTGGCTGTTGTTGAAAATGGGGTATGAAAACTCACTACTATTTTTGTATTTGAATCTCTTTCCATTCAGATTCACTTAACATGTCTCACCTCTGTAGATGCTGTGTGGTTGGATTCAGCGTTTTACAACTGTTTTATCTTCTGATGAATTGCCTATCACTACATAATGTCCTTTTTGCCTCTTTTTAGTTTTTGATTTGAATTCTGTTGTGTGTTCTTTCTGTTGGATTCTGCTGTGTAGAATGTCTTTCCCATTCCTTCATTTTCAGTCTGCCTGTAAACTTAAAGTGAAGTGTCTCTTGTAGACTGGGCATAGCTGTGTCTTTAAAATTTTTTTGTTATTAATACGAACATAATAAGCTTCTTTACATTTCCTAGGTACACTTCCAAGACGATAACCATACCTCCTTTACTCCTGCTGTCTTCTTTAATGTTTGTGAAAACATAGCCCCAGTTGACTTCATAATCACAGCCTTAATGAATCACTAGTCCTAATGCCCAATAAGGAAAATGTAGACAGGCTTCTGTTCCATAGACCTATAACCAAGAGCTAAAGACAACACTCAGATTAAAAGATGCCCATTGCATTCTTCAGCTTGTTTGTATTCTGTACTGACTGCCACATTATCAGAGAAAATATATGCTATTTATCTGTTTGGGATTGGCCTATTTCACTAAGCATAGGGGTTCCTGTTTATATCCATTTTTGTTGCAAAAGACAGGATTTCATTACTTTTTACAGTTGAGTAGTATTCCAAGGTGTGTGTGTGTGTATGTGTGTATAGCACATATTTTGGCTATTAATTAGTTGGTGAATATTTGTGTTGATTTAATATTTTAGCTATTGTGAATTGAGCTACTATAAACACAAGAGTACAAAGCACTGTTTCATATTTCTAGGACTAAGACTGCTGGGTCATATGGCACATCTATTTTCAGATTTCTGAGGAATCTCCATCCTGTCTTCCACAATGGTTGTTCCAGTTTACGTCACCATATACAGCATTTTGAGATTCACTTCCCCTGCATCCTCTTCAACATTATTATTTTTTTGATTTTTCGATGACAGCTATTCTAATTAAGGTGAGGTGAAACTTCATGGCGGTTTTTATTTGTATTTCCCCAGTGATTAGTGATCCTGAATATTTTTTCATGTGTCTTTTGGCAGTTTGTATTTGATCCTTTGGAAACTACCTGTTCTTGCCCTTTGCCCATTGTTTAATTGAATTATTTCCAGGATATTAGCCCTTTATCAGGTGCTTAGTTTGCAAATATTTTCTCCCATTTTGTGGATGGGCTTCTTATTGAGCATTTGTTTACAGTACAGACGCTTCTTAACCCAATGTCATCCTATGTTTCTGCTTTTGCTTTGATTGTCTATGCTTCTGGAGTCTTTCCTGAGAAGTCTTTGCCTATGCAGTGTTTTGCAGAGTTTCCCTAATGTTTTCCTCTAGTAATCAGACATCAAGTCATATTCTTAGATGTTTGATCCATTTTGACTTGATTTTTGGAAAAAAGTGTAAGGTCAGGATCTTGTTTTACACTTGTAGATATCCAACCTTCCAAATACCAATTGTTGCAAAGACTATCACTTTCTCCAGAGATTGGTTTTAGCTTGTGTGTCGAAGATTAGTTGGGCTTCTGTTATGTTCCATTGTTCTACTGCTCAATCCAGCTCTTCTCAGCAATTGTTGTAGCATAATAAAAAGTACATTTTCACCCACCCTCCTTGAGGTACCTTGGAAAGGAGGTTCATGGATTAAGCACCAGTGGCCCTCATAAGAGCTTTTAGCATTATGACAATGTCCCATAAAGACAGGGCTAGCTGGGCACTGACTCCACCCCCCTCTAGGATCCTAAAAGCTCTGTGGCTTCCAGAAGCAGAGGCAACTGAGGTGAAGGTGAGAGAGATGGAGGCTACGTGGCTCCTTTATTAGCCCAGAAACTGCAAGAGCACATGAGACTTTAGCATGGGCTCCTGTGTTCTAGGATGAGGTAATTATTGCTCAAGTGAAGCATGAAGCAGAGGACATACACGTATTAAGGCACCAACTGGATTATTATTCTTTTTTTGATAAAGGAAAGCAGAAAACCTTGTACACTCACCATCTATGAGGAAACTGAGGCCCAGAGGTATTAAGTACTGAAGGTGACAATAATGGCAGACGTGAAATCTAATTCCAGGTTCTTGATTTCATATCCAAGCGCTAGCCGCAAGGAAGAAGAGAGAAACAGGTAGCAAATTGCAATAGAGGGGTGGCAGGGTCAAGGCCTATTAAAGACTTAAACTGTTCCCAGCCCCGGGCACTGGCCTTTACCTGCATCAGCTCATTTAATCATCTCAGTCATTGGGAAGGTGAGCATGATTTTCCGTTACTTCAGTGCAGTACTGACTTTTATTACAATGGATGTGAGTCATAAGGAATGGTCTCAAGAGTGGCCAACATTCTGTGATTTAGAAGCCTTGCAGTTCTGTCACAAGGAAATATGTTTCAGCTTGTTGGGAAATTCACTTAGGTGGAGAAGTCACACTCTGTCAATGCTAAACAAATAAATGTAACTGCCATTTTCTCCAGACAAGGCACAACAATATTTAACGTCTGAGAAAAATACACATTAAATTACCAAGACCTCAAAGAGGCCCAAGAACATGATTGGCCATTGTAAACAAAGGGAGCTTGTTGTCTCAGAGCAACATCCCCTACGACAGTACTGTGGACAGGAGTTCTTCATGATCTAACACTGAAATACCCAGTATTTAGGAAGCGATCTTCAAAACGTATAGAAGGAAGGAGTGTTATGAACAAGCAATTCATGGAGTTGGAAAGTTAGTGCACCAAAACCAAGTTTATTTATTCGATCTCTTTTCCACAAACTTCTTAAAGTACCCTGAAGGTGAAGTCCAATTTGTTGATCTCCTTTTGTTGGCCTTCCAACTTAAAAGTTGTTGAAAAATGTAACATATAAACATGTTTATTAAGTGAAACAGAATTACTAATGCCAGGGTAGTAACTTACTCTCAAAAACACTCTGCAACCTACATTAGTAGCCAAACATGTTACATGTGGCCCAAAGAGAAACAAAATTGTTCTAAGCTCTGTAACCTTAGGGATAAACAAGTTGTATTCATTTTTTAAAAATATAAATTGCTTTGGCTTTGGCTTGTGGTGAAGACATTAACTAACTATGAACAGAGGAACCCAACAGGAAGATGTTTCGCTCTCCAGGGACCTCTCTCCTGACCTTGGCTTTGGAAATGTTTGTCAGTGGTTTCTCAAAAGAGTGCCATGTAGTGGGAAGAACATGGCTTTGGAGCCAGTTTATTAAAATAGTTACTTATTTGTACCTATCATGAGCTTAATGCAGATGCAATGGTTAAAAAAAAATGGGGTGGCATCCCTGTAAGGGTTTCCTTCAAGTGAAGGAGAAAAGCAAGAGTGAAAAATAAATGTGAGATAATTTTATGCTGTTGCTAATTTTCTACTTTTTCTTCTTGCTATTGATTTGTTTTATGGCCTTTCATTTAAGGGGATCTATGGTAACTATGTAATAGAGACTGTCAGATACAGATGTGAAGATTCAATGCAGTATGCACCTCTACTTTCAAATCAAAGATGGACTCTCAATGAAATTGTTAAATGTATCTTGACAATAGGATGCTGGACTCTCTGCCATTGTGCATACCTACAATGTCAGGCTACATTTAAATAGCACAATGATGGACTGATGACTGATTATAAAGGACTATACTATTATAATAATATAGAGGAAATCAGTAGGGGGATGGGAATTTGGGGAGGAAAAGAGGGGAGAAGGGAAATCCCAGAGCCTATGGAACTGTATCATAAAATAATATAAACTATAAATTTAATATAAAAAATGAATGTGAGAATTTCAAATAGCACTGAGTGTTAAGAGGAAAATAAGGAAAAATTTCTTAAGTGGTCAACTAGGGTAGCACTGAGATGTTTGGGGACTGAATGATGAGAAGTGACCATGTGACAACTGGGCAAAAACATTAAGGTGAATGATACAGCAGGTGTCATGGCCTGGGGTAGAAGTCAGAACTGTGTCAAGGAACATGAAAGGCCCCTGAGACTGGATCAGGTGAGGGAAGCAGTGAAAGATGAGAAAGGAAGATGGAGGGTGGGCACTGGGGAAGAGCTGAGACTCATGGGAGGTATAATGAGAATCTGAGAAGTTTTAGGTAGGAGAAACTGATTTATTGTGTTCAAAATCTGACTCCTTGCTCTTTTCAGCATTTACTGTGAGAAAGAAACCATTCATCAGCAATCAACTGTTGACATTCCAGAAAATGTTGACACCATTCTGAAGGGGCGCACAGTGATTGTGAAGAGGCCCGGAGGAACCCTGCAAAGGGACTTCAATCATGTTACTGTGAAACTCGGCCTCTTGGGAAAGAGGAAGAAGGGGCTTCAAGTGACAAATGGTAGGGAAATCACAAGAAACTGGCCACTGTTTGTATCACCTGTAGTCACGTACGGAATATGATCAAGGGAGTTACACCCAGCTTCCGGCACAAGGCGAGATCAGTGTATGCTCACTTCCCCATCAACGTGGTAATCCACAACTCGCTGGGTGAAAAGTACATCGGAAAGGTTCGGATGAGGTCAGCTGTGGCTTCTTCAGTGTCTCAAGCCCAGAAAGATAAGTTAGTCCATGAAGGACTTGTTTCAAATTCAGCTGCTTTGATTCAGCAGACAATCACAGTTAAAAATAAGGATATCAGGAAATTTGGGGATGGTATCTATGTCTCTGAAAAAGGAACAGTTCAACAGGCTGATGAGTAAGACCTAAAGTTGCCCAGCTATTGAAGTAAGGACCCTGGACTGTTTCTGTGTCATTTTATTAATGTAATAAAAAGATGTGCTGATTTGATGCTTCAAAAAAAACCCTGACTTCTTGTTTAAAAGGTGACTCTGTGATCAGTATAAAAGACAAGGGTGTTGGGGGAGGATGGAACAGGATCAGTCAGGTGACTTCTCAAACATCTAGACATAACAACTCCCATAATCAAGAAATGGGGAGCTGCAGAAGAAACAGGAAGGGAAAAACCAAGTACTGAAGATGCAACCTCCAGGTTCCAGCTGTGATTTGGACCTTAGGATGAGCCAATCGGAAGAAATGAGTTTTTTCTGAGATTTGGCTTCATCACTCGGTTATTGCCATTAATTAAAGACAAAATGTTGGTGATGGAAGGACACAGCGGCAGATGCACCTGCTGGATAAAGCACTTGAGTAGGTGAGCAGCCCTTACTGCCACAGATGGACACTGAGGACTTAGTCATCAAAACAGGGAAAAAGCTGCCTCTACAGTCACTAGTACTAGCAGGTGGATAGATATGCAGCTGGATGCAAGCTTCTAGTTTAATTGCTCCAATTTTATTCAATAGAATAAAATCACTGGCATTAAGACAGGGAGTGATAGGATTCCAAAGAGAATAGCAAAGAGTTGACTTTACAGTCTTGAGGCATGGGGAAGCAGACAGAGAAGGAGTCCTGGGCAGCCCAGAGAGCAGCTGTGGCCATGGTCATGGTTGGAATGAGGGCACAGGGCGTGTCTGGAACATGTTCAATTGAAGGATGAAGAAGCTGGACCAAAGTTGGGTCTTCCAGGTGGGGGTAACAGTAAGCATGAGAGGACAGCTCCTCTCCATTTGCACCCTGAAGACATGAGGCAGGTGTGGACCATGAGAAAGGGATGGGTCAGTGCAGTGCAGGATCTTGGAGACTGGTACTAAACAAATGATGCAAAAATGTAAAGGGTTGTGCTCTGAGTGAGGCTCTGCAGACTCCTGCTCTTAGAGATGAGGCAGGGAGCAATTCCCCCCCGGTCTGCCTTAGGAGCAGCTTGGGAGCTTCTCAAACTAACAGCTGGGATCCCAGCAACCACTTTCTAAAAGCTACTCTGGGCAGTTCCATCTGCAGCCCAGGGTAACAATTGGTGGTCTCAGTTGTGACCATGGACCAGGGACCTGGGATGGATGGAGACAAAGGTTGCTGGAAGTGAGGAGCTCCAACAGGTGGGAGCACATGGGCACTCAGGTGGTTGAGAATGACAGAGAAGATGCTGAATTGGATCATGAGGTTTCTATGGAACAGCAAGCTGAGAAATGAGAGCAAGCCAGAATCGACCTGGGATGGAGTCGAAAGGCAGGTGTCGTTGGGAACAGGGCTTCTGAGGGGAGATGACACAGATCATCAGCTTGAGAGGATCCAGACAGTCCTCAGGAGGAGTTCCTGTTCAAATTAGAGCAAGGAGGCTTTTTTGTTTTTGCTGTCATTTATCTATTTTAAAGAGTTCAAGAGAAAGGGAGAAAGAGGGACAAGAATCTTCCATCCTCCAAATGGCTACAATGACCAGATCTAAGGTGGTCCAAAGCAGGAGTCAGGAGCTTTTTTCTTGTCTCCCACATAAGGTTCAGGGTCCTCAGGGGATGAGCCTGCCTCTCCTGCTTTCCCAGGTGCCTTAGCAGGGAGTTGGATTGGAAGTGGAGCAGCTGAGACGCAGACTATTGCTGTTATGGGATGCTGACACCCCAGGTTGAGGTTTAATTTGCTACGCTCCCCAAAAGAAGGCGTTTTTCATCCACTGATAAATCTTTGCTGAATGAACACAAGAGGCAGATCTTGCAACTGTTCACTAACAAGGAAGGGAGAAGACGAGAGAGCATGTTGAACTTAGGGAAGGTGCTCTTACCCTGTGTGTGGTGATGGGGTTGGTATGGGCGAGTGTAGATGTTGTTGATGTGGTTGTGTAGAGATGTTGCAGGTCGGAGTGTGTGGACACACTGGGGCGTATATGATGTATGTGGATGGTGTCAGTTTAGGTGGGTGCACAGATGCTGCCTTGATCTTTGTATGGAGTTGCAGCTGGTCTGATGGTATGGATGCTTCTGGAGGGACTGCTGTCAGTTGGCTGAGTCTTAGAGTCTCCCTGAAGGTTGAGTACTGGCAGACCAGTCAGATTAGGGCTGGAGAGAGCCAAAGATGCATTCAAATCCGAGAGGACTTGAGGACCAAGTGCACAGCAGAGCTGCGCCGGCCAGGCAGGGGATCCTCCACCTCTCTCAGGAAGGAAATGGGTCATCAAGCATAATTGCAGCAATTGTTCAGAATGTGTTGGAAGCATGCAGGGAGTACGCTGGGGCTTGGCTGGGGGAGAACCGTGTCAGGAGGGGCTTGTGCTGCTTTGTGACGTCTTCTCTCTGTTCCACTTGTGGGGCCGGGTGGGCTGTGTTCCAGATTCAGGAAGAACCCAACTCTACTGTTTCACTCAGAAATCCCAGGCCGAGCGTTTCTCCCTCTTGTATCAGGAAAGAGGAAGTCAGAATACTACTTCAAAGACTCGCCACAAATAGTGAAACCATGGGCTCTAACATGTGACACACTTTTAGGGACACAGAAGCCATACATGGTGTTGATTGTAACAATCTAGTTCTCACAATCTAGGGAATCACTTCCATGCTTCACGCTGTCTCATTATTTCTCAAAAAGGGATCCTAATGTTCCAAGAAAATTGTCAAGTACCATGAAGGACCCTCTTGAGAATAGCGTCCGTCAGTGTCAAGGGCATCCGCTGACACCAGAGCTAGCTCTCTGAGAACAGCTTGTGTTAGAAACCCATCCCCTGGATGGGAGAGTGTCGCTGCTCACGGCCTTCTCTGGCTCTTGGGTGTGTATGAGTACAGTACCTGAGGAGAGAATTCACACCTGCCTTAACAAACACAGACTCTGCCTGGTAGAGACTCCTGTGACGTTAGAGTTCCAGCACTTTCTCCCCCTCTCCTCTCCTGTTTCAAAATTTAACTCCCCCAACCTCCTCCCCTTCCGGCCAACTAAAGATTGAGACATGGCCAAGGCCTATGGAACACAGCTGGTCACAACTCCTTTTTCTTCATGGTTTTATCTCCTTACTGAAGCATCCTAGCCGTGGCTTGGAGGATACAGAGCTCTAACTGCTGCCTGCTGCATGGATGCAGTCTGAGACCTAATATGAGCGAGGGAATCACAGTCACTAACTGCAAGGGAGTAAAAGGGATCATCGTACTTTCTGAAGAACTGAAGCACTCTCTAATTGGAACGGAAATGATCTTGTCCACACTTTCCAATTTGCTGATAAAGACAGGGGATTATGGGAAGGGACAAACTTGCTCTAGACTCAGTCCCATAACTGAGACTAGAGTTCAAGACTCGCGGCTCTCATTTTAATGTTTGGGGATGGATATTTATTCTTAGCATATATATATATATATATTTTAATTTAGAGATCCATATGAGTAAAAAAGAATGGCATGAGAATTCCACCAACAAGAAAGGTCACTATGGACATTCATTGAGCATCTTTCCATTACCATTTTCATATCCAAGTACTGCAGGTGGAGTGGGACGCTTCTGGGCAGGACCTAAATTCTTAGCAGGAAAGCAGTTAGGAAAGCTCTATAGCTGATACTGTAAGAGGACTAGGGTTAGAGGTGGTTGTGCAGTGAACCAATCCATGACATCAGAAATTATCTTTCCTGATTAGTTAGCATGAATCTAACACACTATTTTAATGTTTTCACATCATATTACTTGAGCTGTGTTTTTAAAATTTCTGCCCTAACATACATGCATGCAAATCATATTTTTTTTTATCAGAAGTCTGTAAATTTTTCAAGGATTTTGCTGTGTTCTGTTAAATTGCCCTGTGGAAAGACTGTGCCAATGCCTAATCAATGTTATTTATTCCCAAGCATTTTCATTTTCATTAAAAAAAAAAGTTTCTCTTTGGGGGGAATCAAGATGTTGGAATAGGGCAAGGACACATTTAAACAGACAGAGAAACATTAGCCAACGTGAAGCAGACAGGGCTCATTTCAGGAAATAGGAAAGGACAGAACCATAGCAGAGGGGCACTTGAAGACACAGGAAAGCAGCAGACACAACAGTGTGGTGTTGCAGTGACTGATATCCCAACGGCAGCCAGAACTCTGCCAGCAACAAGGTGGGAAGCGGCATTCACCAGGAGCTCAGGAGGTGAACCCAGACAAAGACCTGCCTGTCCTGTTGGTCTGCTTGATTTGACCAGGAGCAAAGACAGGTCCTAGGGGCAGTGCGGGAACAGGGTGGATTTCACAGCCCACTCCGCCCCCTAGAGCTGAATCAGGAGCCACTTTGTGTAGGGACTCAAGGACTATGGGACAGGACTGTGCGTGCATTGAACTCATTTCTGGCTCAGTAAACTGTGGCATCCTACAGGTTCCACCCAAGATATGTCATGGTAGCCCTCAGACCTCAGAACTCTAGCAGTGGCACATTAGTACATTTTGCACAGTGTGACAAACACGAAAGCTTTAACACTGCAGGGACAACAGTGAGTTGTACATGTGCTGAGCTGGGAGCAACCTCACTGAGCTCAGTGCATTGCACTGATCCCAGAGGGAAATAATACTGACTTTGGCATCCTATGGGTAAAAATAGGTCTGTGTGGCCCTCAGACCTAACGGCCAACCGGCTCCGACAAAAACGGCACCACCAACAACCTAGCTATATGGAACACCTTCTGTCTCCCTCACCCTGGGAATTGCTCAAACAAGAAGTAGGAGAAAGATTGCATAGACAACAGTGCAGCCTCAGCACGGGATCATAGAAAATAGAGAGGTATGAGCCAGGAGCTGGGGTTACAAAGACCATGGTGGAAATCTAATGTAAGAACTTGAACCTGGAACTCGCTGGAGGGAGTGGCACAAGTGACTGAAAACAATGAGCCGTGTAGCAACTGCAGTAGGTAAAATCAAACTGTAGACCT